ATCTTTGTAATTTATTCCTATTCATTTTGGGTCTGTAATAATTGATATAATAACATTTGGGGTGTTAGTAAAATCGGGTTAGGGGTTCTATCTTAACATTTGCATTAAAATCCGTAGAGATCCTGCCTATAGGTGCTTTACTGCGCTCAAATGTGTTATTATGTTAGAAATCATGCCAATAGGTATTCTATTTTGCTAAAAAATGCGTCACCATGCTCCAACATGTTCGATTATTATGTGTTAGTAATGCTGCCTATAGGTTCTTCACTTGGTTCAAATGTGTTCTGCTTTTACCTGTTAGAAATCATGCCTATAGGATTACGTTGATTTGCAAATACCTGTTCTTTGCAATGTTCACGTAGAGATCATGCCTATAGGAGCATAATCAGATGCCATTTCTGTTATTCTCATTACACTGTCACCCGCCTAGAAGGCATGCCTATAAGGATAAAATGTTATAAAATCAAGTACAATTTTCAATCGCTAGAAATCATGCCTATAGGATGTTCTATTAGTGCTGCTAACCTTATGTCTTCAAATAACTTTACTGCCTACCTAATACGTCAAAATTACAACGTTACCTTTGGAATCCAGAATCATTTAGCAATCATGTCTATAGGATCAATAGCCCATAAATTGTGGTCTCAATAATGAATATGCGATATCAGATTCCCTAAATTGTGCATCTGCTTAGGAATCACGTCTATAAAATTACATTTTACATCTGAAACTGCTGCATGTATTAAAATCCTGAATCACGTAGTGATCATGCCTATAGGTGTCACGACCCCAAACCGACCCGGTCGTCATGGCGCCTATCATGGAACTAGACCAGCCGACACAATCCCAAATCAAACCAATATTTTATAGAAAAGACGTTTTAAGCTATTCATTAATAAAATTTCCATAACATGAGTCTAATTAACAAGTACGGAAAAAAAATACAAGCCCGACATCGGGGTGTCACTAGTCATGAGCATCTAGAGTACAAGTCAGATACAGTCTATTAAAATGACAAAGGAGTCTAAAATAACTGAACAGCTATAGGATAGGAGGGAGAAAAGCAGGGCTGTGATCGCCAGGCAGCTACCTTGCTAACTCCGATGGGCCTACCACTGAGTAGTCAACACCCGCTACCGGGTTCAGAAATACTTGAATCTGCACACAAGGTGCATGGAGTAATGTGAGTACGCCAACTCAGTAAGTAATAAAGGTAAATAAAGTTTGAGTGCAGTGACGAGCATTTTAAAAAAAATCATATGCATCTCATAACATAAAAACCTCAGTGGAATAACAAGTTCAAATCAACAGTTAAATTCCGAACTATCTCATAAAAATTCCAGTTCCAATGAGAGTTGTTTCAAAACATTTGTTCAACATTTCCCATAGGGGTTCAGTATAAAAGAAGAGTGAAAACAGTAAATTTCATAAAAACAAGCCCCTCGGGCAAAGTATCACTTTATATATATATATATATATATATATATATATATATATATATATATATATATATATATATAGAGCCCCTCTCTCAGTCACTCGTGACTCAACTCTCATCAATCAGTGCTCACACTCAGCACTCACGCTCAATAGGTACCTTATATATATACTGCTGTGGCGTGCAGCCCGATCTATAAATACATATAGTCAACTGCGTTTACTGGGGGTGTGCAGACTCCGGAGGGGCTCCTACACCCCAAGCGCTATATCATTGCGGAGTGCAGCCCGATCCAACATATCGCTGTGGTGTGCAGCCCGATTCATATATCGCTGCGGCGTGCAGCCCGATCCATAATTATATAATCCTCACCATCAGGCCCTCGGCCTCTCTCAGTCATCACCCTCACAAGCCACTCGGGCATTTCAGCGGAAAATCAGGGAACTCAGCCCAAACAACTTTCATATATTTAAAAATAGAGTAATGAAACTGAATCAAACAATAAACAGGTAAAAGTCATGACCGAGGATATGCTTTCGAATAAAAACAGTGTGAGGATAGTAGTAAAATACCCCTGAGGGTCCAAATAGTACAGCACAAGTTAACAGAATCATTTCTAAAACACATAGATATCATCTAGAGTTTATCAAAATATGCAACTTTACAGTTGCCACGAGACGGACCAAGTCACAATCCCTACTGGTGCATGCCCACACGCCCGTCACCTAGCATGTACGTCACCTCATTTATCAAAATAGCATGAAATTCCGGGGTTTCATACCCTCAGGACTAGATTTGCAATCATTACTTACCTCAAACCGGACGAAAATCTACACCGCAATGCCCCTGCCGCTCGACTTGGCCTCAAATCATCCGAATCTATCCAAAATCAGAATTATATCATCAATACATGCCAAAGGAACAAAGCCCACGCGAAAATTATCAAATTTATTCAAATTCCCGAAATTGGCCAAATCGACCCCCGGGCCCACGTCTCGGAATCCGATAAAAATCACATCACTAGAATTCTTATCCTCCCACGAGTCTACCCATATCAAATTCACCAAAATCCGACGTCAAATGGCCATCCAAATCCAAAAATCCACTCTCCAAATTTTCTTCCATTTTCACCCAAAATTCCTAAATTAAATGATAAGAATCAAGACATAATCATGGAACTTAACCAAAAACAAGTGAAGAACACTTACCCCAATCACTCCTCTGAAAATCCCCTCTAAATTCGCCTTCTCCCGAGCTCTCTAATGAGTTTTGAAAATATGAACTAAAACCCTCGTTTTCGAACTTAAACATTCTGCCCAGATGCGTCCTTCATCGCAAACGCAACGCCCTCCTTGCATTCGCATAGAACAAAACTCCACTGCTCAATCTTTCCTCTTTCGCGAACGCGAGCTCCTTCCCGCGAATGCGAAGCTTCAGCTGCCAGTGCTTTCGCGAATGCGACCCTTCCTACGCGAACGCGATGAACAAACTCCTGGGGTCCCAGCTGCTCCAACTTCCCTACGCGAACGCAACGCCATTCACGCATCCGTGATTCACTGGAGACCAAACCTATGCGAACACGTCCCTTGACTCGCGAACGCGAAGATCATCTTTATCCCTTGACCAAGCTCTTCTTCGCGAACGCGAAGAACAAATCTTCTGCAATAAAATACCAGCAAAATCTGCCATCTCTCAAAACCACGAATTGGCCCGTTAACCACCCGAAACTCACCTGAGGCACTCGAAACCTCAACCAAATATGCCAACAAGTCACATATCACCATTCTAACTTGTTCCAACCTTCGGAACACTCAAAACCACATCAAAACATCAAATCACGATCGAATTCAAGCCTAAGGATCCCAAACTTCCGAATTTCGCAAATGATGTAGAAACCTATCAAATCACCTCCGAATGACCTGAAATTTTGCACACACGTCAAAAATGACACTACGGACCTACTCCAATTTCTGGAATTCCATTCCGACCCCGATATCAAAATTTCCGCTACCGACCAGAAAACTCCAAATTTCCAATCGCCAATTCAAGCCTAAATCTACCACGGACCTCCAAATTACATTCCGAACACGCTCCTAAGTCTAAAATCACTTAACGGAGCTAACCAAATCAAAAAATCCAAATCCGAGATCGAATACTAAAATGTCAAAACTTGGTCAAACCTTTCAAATTTAAAGCTTCAAGCTGAGAATCATTCTTCCATAGCTGTTCAGATTAACCTGAAAGCCAAAATTGACGATTTACATAAGTCATAGTATATCATACTGGGCTAGTCATGCCCGAAAACTGGCGAGCGAAGTGCAAATGCTCAAAATGACCGGTCGGGTCGTTACAATAGGATTCAATAATAGTTTAAAATATGCAACTGTCAAATGCTCAAATGTGTTTGCGTGCATTCGTTGCCAAAGTGTGGAGGCTAACCTAAGCCCTTAACTGCTTTTATATGAAGTCCAACTTATTTTGCATGACGATTAGTTTTATCATTTTGAGCAGCCTAAGTTGAAGTCTAGAACTACCAAAATAGAGGTCCAAAGCTTCCTGGACCATAGGCATGGGACTGGTAGTGCACGCATAGGGTACGATTTAGAACCAACTAGTGCGCTTTAGGTAACAACTTAAAGATAGTAATCGGGTAGCAGGAGATGATAGTCTGTGCCCGCTGAATAATATGAGTAATACCCCAGCTTGAGGGAGTTACGAAGTATTATTTATGTTGCACGGGTTGATCCTTTAGGCTAAAAAATTTAGGACGTCCCACCTTGTCTTTCAATCAATTATTTGTGTTTAATAATGAACTCCCAAATTTCTTTGTTTTCTTATCTTTGATCACATAGACTAATTCGTATAATTGAGTTTGGCCAGGACCCACAGTTGTGGACCTCGAGGAGTGCCTAACACATTCTCTTCGAGGTAATTTCGAGCCCTTACCCGATCTTTGGTGACACAAACTAGTCAAACAGAGTTATCTGCAAAATAGGTGCCCTAACGCACCTTAAAAATCGTTAGGTGGTGACTCTTCTCTTTTGTTACCCTTCCTTAAAAGAGTAGTCACGTGTCGAAACCCGATTTCGCGAGAAAAAGGGGCGCGACGCCATCACGACATCCTACGGAAGGAAATTGGGGTCGTGACACTTTCCATCTTTTCTTTAGTTGTGTACTTACATTTCAATCTCTCTCCCGTCTAGGTTTAGAATTTCTAATTTCCATCTTTTTTTTAATTATATTATAATATTTTTACTTTCGTATTTGTGCATACCTTACTTAAAAATATTACTGTCTATGACTTTTTGCATTAGCCAATATTCGAACCGAACAAACCGAATAAAGTGAATCCTAAAGGAAAAAATCCGAACCATACCAAATTTAATTAGGTATGATATTGGTATATCATTTTAAGAAATCTAATACCGAAAATATCGAACCGAAATATTTAAATATCTTAGCGTACACGAATACCCTAGTAAGAGACGTCAAATTTCAAAAATAAACTCTCTTGTGCTTTATACTAGAATCTCACTTGTTTAAAGTAGAACTTCACCCTTTTCCCCTCTTTTTAAGCCCCTGATTTACTTTCCCTCACCACAACACACAACACACAACACACAAACTCACTTCACAAGTCAACAACCACGCAAGAAAAGGGACACAAAAACGCTGTTGCTGCGCAACCTGCCAGCGCCGAAAAAAATTTCTTTCTTCTCCAACCATCATTCTCATGAGATCAGGTATGTTTTTATCTAATTCTCTTCTCCTCTTCTCTTCCTCTCCCCTCAATTTCTCTATTGCTTGTAGTGCTTTTGTTTTCTTTTTCTATGGTTCTTTTATGTGGAGTTGAGAGCACAAACTGTGCAATTTTGTTGTTGGCTGATTGATATGCAAGTATGATTCTTTAAACTATAATTCCCATTAAATTGGGAGGGTAGTTCAATCACCTACTTTGTGCAAAGAGCTTGGTTAAAGTTCCGCCTGCAACCTGTTCGATGAATTGTCTGAGAGAGGATTTTATTTGCCGGTGAAGTCAGAGTAACCAAGCGCTATTAGGAGTTGATTAGGAGTAAGTTTGGAGTTTCTAGGTACGTTATGGGCTGCTTGGTCAGCTTTCTTGAGACACGACTGTGATAGGGGGTCTTTTGACGTTGAATTTCCGTTTTCAAAATTTGTTCTTATGAATTGTGTGAAAGGATTTTCTGCGTAAGAGGAAACTATTCGCTGGTGATAACCGAACTACTAGGAGATGTGAAAAAGTAAGTGTGGGGTACTTTCGATTGGTTTTAAAGCGTTTGTTTGTTTTTATTGTCCGGGCTATAGCTTAAACCTGTGAAAGTCCTAAATATGCTATTTTCTGTGGTTGAATTGTTCTACATTGACAGGAAATGATGTGTGGGAAAGGTTTAATTGGTGCTGACTTGTGTCTTGATCAACTGTTGTCGCGCTTCAATTTTCGAGTTACATTAGCTGTCAAATTGTGCCCTCTCTTACTATCTGTAGCTGGTGAATATTCTTAGTTGGAAAAGAAAATTACATCAACACATGAAAATGGAATAGAAGGTAGTGTGAATGTAGATGGTTGTGCAGGAGAAATTGGTTTATTTTGTGCGAGTCTCTGTTCTTGTGCGTCTTAAGAGTCGAATATTTTCTTCTTTTGGCTGATTTTTTTTTCTTTGGCTACAAGATTGTGGTTTGCACTGCTAAATGGAGGAATTGTTGCTTGCTTATTTTCGATAGTTGTGATGTAAAAACTTTGTCCAAAGAACCTGCAAAATCCGATTTTATAGTTTTAAAAGAGAATCCACTGTTAGAAATGTTATTTTTGGGAAGTTGGATTGAAAGAGGCTTGTGATGAATATTTTAACTTACTTAGATGATAATGTTTTATCTGAAATGGAAAGAAAGCTGAAAGTTTTTTGAAGCTGATTTCGAATGCCAATGGGACGGGTTGCCTGAAAGTCCTTGAAACTGTGACTACCTTTGGAGGCTACTTATATAGTAAATTTAACAGACATTATTGGTTGCTAATTTTCTGCTTATTCTTTAAAATAAAATACGGTTCCTTTCCCTATTGCATAAAAGTTATATCATAAATACAATTGATTAATAGACCTTGATGAATAGAAGCAACCAGTAGACCAATTATGCTTTGAGCTCATATAAGTTAGCTGCTGTAAATCAGATAGCGTTCTTCAACTACTGCAATTGGGAGAAGAATAAGAACTTGCAGAGTAGCAAGAAGACGAAAAGCAGCATTTGTGCGTAATTTATTCTCTAACCAAAAAAAAGGGTAGTCCTGTATACTAAACTCGCGCTCTGCGTAATTTATGTTCTGACCAAACTTTAAATATTAGATATGTTTTAAATAACAGCCCTAGAAGTGGCTACTTTAAATACTGAATAATATGTTTTAAATACCAGCTCTAAAAATGTCTATTGGTGCACTTAGCCCCAAAGTTTAGAGACCTGGTAGGGCTAAGATTTGACAGAAGCGAGGAGCATGTCTTTTGAACCGAAGCGAAGGAAAATTGACGGTGAACCTCCACGCAGGGCTATCATTCCACCACCTAAGAGAAAAGCAACAACCTCTAGCCATAAACCAGTAGTGGTGATTGCAGAACAAACAAGCAGCTTCACTAATCTCAGTCTACAACAGGCTAAGAATTCAGCACTAGCTCAAGCACAACAAGACGGCTGCACTGGCAATTTTAGGATCTTTGATTCTCCTTTTGGGAATTTTCTTGTACCTGTAGTTCCAACTCGTGCTGAACTGGGTGGATGATCCATGCTTTTAAGTGAAGGTAACTTTTTTTTATGTCCATTCTTTTGCCACTTTTAATTTGGTATTGTTAATACCTACTCCTTAGTTAAAACATCATTGTTTGGTACATGTTTGATGAAATTCTCGAAAGAAATGGGATCTTCTGTATAAAACTAAATAAATGCAAAATGAGTTTAATACATATTGTTGAATTGTGCATGTAATTGAATTGACTGCTTTAAAGTTAATAACTATGGCATAAATTTGTTCTACATAAATGGAAGACGTAACACTTAGCTCTAGAATTTTAGAAGATCTTTTCTATGCTCTGGCTTGAACAGTATACATTTTATGCAGTTTGTTGTCATATATTCATTAGGAACTGCTTATTTAGCGGCTCTCACGCCAAAGTATCAGGGTGTCTATCACTCATTTGCTAATTATATTTAGTTTCTTGAAAAAACTACAGAAACAGTTTATTCGATGAACACATTCATTTTTGCCAAATTTCATGTGTGGTTGCATCCCCCCCCCCCCCCCCCCCTTTTTTTTTTTCGGATGGAGATGGATTAGTTTATCTTTTTTGAATACCTAAGCTGAGCTGCCTTGAGTTTCTCTTTATCATCTTGATTGGAGGTTAAATGTATCACTTGCATAAATTTTTAGATATTTCTTGCATTTTGCTGTCGCTCATGCTAGCAGGTGATGAAATCACAGAACGAGAACTGGCCTTTTAATAGCGTGGAACCTCGGAAACTTGGACGATTGCAGAGTAAAACAGGGATATGTCATTAAGCCAGAAGGTCCTCTACTTAAAGACTTTGCAAAGATGCTTGCGGTCTCCATGGTTAACCCAAACTTATTCTTTCTCAGACATTGTTCACAAGAAAACAAAGCTTGCTCCTCTACAGGTTCTTGATGCTTCCACTTCTCTCCCTCTACAAGTACTGCTTTAGATATTCATACTCTTATATCCCAGTATCCATTTGTCCGTTTATACAAGTTTCCTTACAGGAAAGGAGAATGATAGATCGCTTTCGCATATGGGCCAAAGGAGGTGATGGTGGCAGCGGTTGTACCAGTATTCGTCGTAGTCGACATGATCGCCGTGGCACACCTGACGGTTTGTTCTCTAATCAGTTCATACCTCATGGGTGGTGGGGAGGCAATGTGACTGGTTGACTGCCATCTTCCATCTTTGCATCCTTTTCTTTCCCCTAATTGAAGTTTTATTTCCAATTTTATTATCATTCATCCAGTGTTGTAAATAGCGCTCGCTACGTCGCTAATAGCGAGTAACGACGCGAAGCGAGGCTCAGATGCTTTTTTGGTTCTGTTGCGATGCGTTTTGAAAAGGCGCCAACGAGGCGAAGTAGCGCTGGAGAGGCGACGAGGCGAGGTAGAGACAGAGGCGTCGCTTTTTTTTAAAAAAAAAAGAAAGAAAAAAGAAGAGACTTAAATAAAATTTAGGGTTTTCTTCGACTTACAGGTACTTCTTTCTTCTTCTTTTTTCTCTTTCTTTTTCCAGCAGTAAGCCTCTGTTTTTCCGGCGTCTTTTCCGGCAGTAAGCCTCTCTTCTTTCTTCTTTCTTTTCTCTTTCTTTTTTCCGGCAGCAAGCCACTGTTTTTCTGGCGTCTTTTCCGGCAGTTAACCTCTCTTCTTTCTTCTTTCTTTTCTTTTTCTTTTTCAGGTAGTAACTCTTCTTTATTCTTCTTCTTCTTCTTTCCGGCAACAACTGATTTCCAGTAGAAATATTCTTTCTTTCTTTTCTTTCACCTCTGTTTTCGCTTCTGATTTTTTTTTTCAAGTTCAGTAAACCATTACTTGCATATTAACTTCTCTATAATTACAATTACAATTAACTGTTATTTTCTCTCTTTAATTACAATTAATTTCTCTCTATAAACAATTTATTAAAATATTTGATTTCTATCTATTGAGTTTTTGAATTGATATATTTATTAATATGCTGCTGTTATTGAGTTTTTAGTTATTTATATATGCAAATTTAATATTTTATTTTTTGTATTAATTGGCGCTTCACATCAAAAAGGCGAGCGCTACGCTTCTCGCTTCTCGCCTCAGCGAAGCGGGCCCTCATCGCTTTTTGTCGCCTCACGCTATTCAAAACACTGCATTCATCTCTTGCATGCTCTTTTTCTCCTTCAATTTTTCTCTGTTAAAACATTGCTTGGCTGTGCATTTCTTCCCTTGGTTCTTCATAAGATACTTGGTTTAACTTTTATCTTTTACTTGACAAGTTTGAAATACACAAGACATACTCACCAACTGAATTAACAATTAAGATACTATCAACGAAATCAAGACACTCACTAACTTAATGGTAAATGATAAAAGTTAGACATCCAATACATCAGATATCTAACCTGAATTTAAGATATCAACTATTTACCAGTAAAGTTTGAACCAGTGTTTTAAAAGGCGGAGGCGTGAGGCGAGGCGTTTTACCCGGTATGGGGCGAGGCGAAAGCCCTGAGACACGGGGCGCAAGTCCCATGGATCTTCAATTTTATAATTTGATAATTCATAAAATAATCTTAAAAATATTTTTATATGTGAAAACTACATTAAAAGTATGTACATACAATAAAAAAGCATAGGAATATTATTATAATTGTTTTATAAGTGAACTAACAAACAAAAATATAAATACTAACTAAGCCACATCCTGACAATAAGGTTATAAGTGATGCCTAATAAACCAAACAATATAAGGACCAACTTAAATTATCATGGCTATAATCTGAATACCTCATGTGCAACAGTAACACATATAAATGCCAACTTTGCAGATACAAAGACCACTTAACACTGCCTTTACTATGCTATTAAACATTAAATAGTAATTTGGTCAGAGATACACAAGTATCATAATTAAGAGCTCAACCGGTACTCTATCTTGCAAAAAAAAGCTATACTATATCAATTCTGTTCCAACATATCAAGCACCTCCCTAAACTCCTAGCAAGACTTCATCACCATTTTGTAGTCAGAGATACAGTTGCTCTATCAATCGCTATCAAAAACGAGGGTTTCATCAATTTCCACATCTTCCGGTCCTTCATCATCCTCGGCTTCCACTGATTTTTTTTTGTAGATCAAAGGAGAAGCAAAAGGTAAAAGTGTTAGTATTTTGACATAACAGATGATAGCATACAACTTTATAAAAATAGTAGTAGAATACTATAACTTACCTGATGATTTCTGTTTTTTGTTAGAGGGACCCTATTCACTTGTATCTCTTAAACTCCCAACATCAATGAATGATTCATGTGTAAGATCATTCTCATATGGTGTAAGCGGCACCGTCCTAACAACATCAATATCAAATAAATTCTCTTCATCAAGCCAAGAAGGATCTTCTGGAAGCACAGGATCTTCCTTTTCAGTAATCCATTCATCATCAGAATCAACTTCATCTACTAGAATTGGATCAAACTTTTGCAATTTTCTTTTTATGCTCCTTTCTCTCAGTCTAGTATTGTACCTCACATAAACGAGAGCATTTAATCTATGATGCTCAAGTCTATTTCTCTTCCTGGTATGAATCTAGCAAAAATCAGAAAACTTACATTAACTTAAGCTATCATAAACAAAAGAACAATAAGAAAATTTAAGTAGAAGTATAAACGCTTACCGACTCGAAGGTACTCCAATTTCTTTCACAACCCGAGGAGCTGCAAGTGAGACTCAAGACACGAATTGCAAATTTAGTCAACTCTGGAGTTTGTCCGCCAAAGCGTATCCACCAATCCGTAGGAGATCTCACTTTCCTAGAATCCGCAGCTATCTGACATCCAAAATCCCATTTCAATTGGTCATATGAATCTAACTGAACATCCACTTTAAATCTCTCTTCATAATCCAACATTCTTTCCATACATTGGTACAAACTTTGTTTGACTTCAAAGTTAATAGAAAATGTTTCCTCAAATCGCAATGCGGATTCAAATAGTACCCCGCAACATGAAGTGGACGACAGAGTTGGCGAGTCCATCTATCATCAATTCTTTTCCAAATGGGAGCATATTTGTTTTCAGTATATCCACAATTCAAAGCTATTTTTTCTTTAGCCCTATGTATCAAATCATACAAATACCCCATGCATGGTTTTTCCTCTGAATCTACTTCCCTCAAAACACTCACTAAAGGGGCAACACTTTTCACACAATAAGCAATATATGGCCAAATTTTCTGATCAAACAGAACTATGGCTCTCGTTTTCACCCCCTCGTGTTTCTTAGCCCAAGCAGACTTATTCCAAGCTTCAGAAGAAAACATAGATCTAAGAGCTTGTTTTTGCTTTTGAATGCTTTGAAGTGTGAGATATGCTGTAGCAAAGCGAGTAACAGCAGGACGAAGAAGTTCATGATTATTTGTAAATGATCTCATTAAATCTAACACCCACGTATGTCCATAAATAAATCTCACCACTTCTTTTGCTTTTGTAAGTGTGTCTTGATGCATTTTCAATTTTCCTATGTCTTCTAATAACAGGTCAATGCAATGCGCTGCACATGGAGGCCAATAAATATGAGGCCTAGTTTCCATTATTCTTTTTCCAGCATTAACAAAATTAGAACCATTATCAGTTATTATCTGCACAACATTCTCTTCTCCAACTTCATCTATGATCTTATTTAAATGCAACGCAAGCATTTCACCACTTTTTATAGAGTCCGATGCATCAATAGATCTCAAAAAAAAAAGTACCCGCGGGACTATTAATTAGAAAGTTGATAAAACATCTACTTTTTCCATCTGTCCAACTATCAGACATAATTGAACAACCATATTGCTTCCAAGATTTCTTATGTTCATCTAACATCTTGTTAATATTTGTAACTTCATCTTTTAGTATCCAAGTTCTTAGCTCATGCATTGAAGGAGGTACAAAACCCGGACCATAATTTGCAACTCCTTCAAACATTGGCAAATAGTACGGATCATTTGCAACATTAAATGGTATACCACTTGAGAAGAAAAACCTACCAATTCGCTGACAAACTTCTTTTCTTTCCTCTTTTTTCCATTTGGAGTTCAAAGTAGCTTGTCTTGCTTGAGTACTAACAAAATCATCCAGCGGACCTCTAGCCTTTGGAGGCAAATTGCCCATAGTTGGAGAAGAACCTGATTCGCCATCCATGTTACCACTTCCAGTTGCAACAGCTCGCATTTCTTCCAAAGTAGCCTTTCTCGTGATTTTTACATTTTGAAGCTTTAGTAATGTTTTCTTGCATTCTTCGGCTACTTCATCCGGTACCTTCGGACAAGGCTTTATCCCTTTGTGGGTGCCTGCTAAATGTTGCTTCAATCTTTTAATTGTGCCGCTAATTTGTTGAGTACAGAACTTGCATCAAAAGTATTTCTCATCCGGGGTCATGATTGAATATTTCCATGCAACATCTGTTTTCCTTGCATTTTTAGAACCCTCTTCATCCATTGTAACGTTTTAGCTTACCTACAAGAAAAGTGAGATAAGAACGTGTAAATTATTAGAAGAAAATAAAAAATATAGAAGAAAATCTACATACAACAGAACATTATTGAACTTCAAGTTGGTACAAAAAGCTGAAGCAAACATGACAATGCCCACAAATCATGGCAAATAACTTTGAATAGGCTTAAGTGTACTGTTGGATTAAGAATTTCAAACAAGCAAATAAAGTAAAGTTTTTACAGTAAAGCACCGTTGGATTAAGAATTTCAAACAAGCAAATAAAGTACTGTTGGATTAAAATACAAATTACAAAAAGAATATTAAATCTCAAAACCAGTAAAAAGTTTTTGCTGTAGGAGGCTAGGAGCACATACAATTGGAAGAACCACAAATGAATCTATGAAATACCGATTATACAATTACAATAGAACAAGAAAATCAGATTCAAGGATGGATAATCTCTACTTAAACTATTTGGAAAGGAAGTGTAGATGGGCATAAAGCAGAAAGAAACAAAAAAAATCAAAAAACTAATAAGAAAGATTAAGTTATACCTTTGGAGTTGTGGACTTAATGTGAAACAGAGAAGTCAACACCGTAGGGTTTTCTTTATTTGCTTCTGGTAAGTCTTGTGCGGGTAAAAGTGAAAGGGTTGAAAAAAATATTGGGAATTGTATAAATTGTTCCTAATTTGGCTAAGTTCCATAAGGCGTAAGTCCCAGAAGAAAGCGTGCATTTCGCCTAGGCGTGCGCCCCAGTGTATAGTGCGTACGCCCTAAAGATCTACGCCTTTCTCTAACGCCCTGGTGCGTTTTCAGTGTGCCCCCGCCCCGGGACTCGCCCTGTACTCGCCCCAATAACGCCTTTGAAAACACTGGTTTGAACCAAAAACCAACCATTCCTGCGGCTTTAGTCCCAAGACTAATTACTTCATCCGTTGGTCGGATGCCTGAAGTACTTTTTTGTAGCAAAAATTCAATAAACAAAGAAAACCAATTATTTGTATAGTTAGAATTCTTCACATCCCCAAATATAGAAAGAAAAATAAAAGTGAAACTCTTACACCATAATTGAAAAAGTAGCAACTTTTATGAGGCCGGGGATTGAGAAAACTGAAGGATGGGTTTATAATGAGCTGCAAATTGCAGCTTTGAGTCTTAGTGGAGAATCTTATGATTCGGGGTAATTTGGTATGCAACTGAAACCCCTATAAAATTCTAGTCATTCAGGGAAGTGGAAATTGCAACTTTCTGTGTCATCGTTTGAAGCGCACACTTCTTTCGAGCACATGATCGAGTCGCTTGTTCATAATTTCACTTCACTTCTGCCATCCTCCATCTCTGTGTGTTCCCCTTGGACTTTACTCCTGAAACAATTACCCTCACGTCACATAGCTTCATTGATGTAAGCAATGACTTATAATAACACTGGCTTAAAGATTGGCTTTTCAATGTTGACCTCCTAGTTAAGTTGCTCCACCTTTTTTTCCAGTAAATTTCCCAAAAGGTTTATTTGTGCATTATCTTCCAAGTCTGTCCTTTGTTGGTTCTTATTTTCTTTTAATTTTCTTCATACAACACCTTTTGTAAGTAACTCATTTAAGATATGCAGACAAGCTTGATTTGTTATAGTGACCAGTTGTAGGATTTTCTCTCTTCTTACCTCATTTTTGTACTGGATGCAGGTGGGAATGGTGGAAGGGGTGGTGACGTGATATTAGAATGTTCCCCTGCAGTCTGGGATTTGAGTAGTCTGCAGCATCACATTGTGTGTTTTCTTCCCTACTGCACGATGTCTGTCGCATGCTTAACTTCTTTATTAATTGGATTGTCCCTGTCATTTGATTGATATATGTGGCATTTTGCATCCTAGTTACCTAATGGTTTGTGACATGTTTCAGAATGCAAAGAGAGGCGGAAATGGGTCTTCCAAAAATATGATAGGAAGCAGAGGAGCTGACAAGGTTAACTTTTGTCTCTCTCTTCATCTTCAGTCTTTGGCATATGTATACCGTTTTCGTTTTTTAATCAAACCTAAACTAAGGACGGCTTGCTTGTGTGGTAGGTGATCCAAGTTCCTGTAGGTACTGTTATTCACCTAGTAGAGGGTGAACTTCCATCTGCAGTTGAGAAGAGTTCAAGTTCTGAGTTGGACCCTTGGGAGCTTCCAGGTACAGTTGATATTGATTCGTCGGAGTTTTCTACACAATCAGTTTCGGCTTACCAAACAAGTTCAAAGGTTGAGAAGAGAGCCAAATCAAGTGGACGTCGAGCTTCTGGTGGTGAAGAATCCACTACAGCAAAGAGAAGAAATCGTGCTTTGCCAATCAATTCTCGCACGAAACATTCACTTTCTAGAGGCAAATTCGAAAGTGATGATGATGATTTGAGCAATTGGGAGGAAGAAAGCTGTGGACAAATGGAAGACCAAGATGGTGATGATGCTATGGGAACAGAATGTGAAGATGAGTTGGAAGAAACTGAACATATAGAATATGATGTGGCAGAGTTAACAGAACAAGGCCAACGAATAGTTGTTGCTCGTGGAGGGGAGGGTGGCTTAGGAAATCTGTCTAAGGGGAAAGCATCAAAGATGATGCAAAAGGGAGCCAGTTCTGATGATGAAATATCTGATGATTATGATCATGCATCACTAAGTGCTGGCTTGCCTGGCTCTGAGGCGGTCCTTGTGCTAGAACTAAAGAGCATTGCTGACATAGGTCTTATTGGGATGCCAAACGCCGGCAAAAGTACCCTCCTTGGAGCATTATCAAAGGCTAAACCTACTGTAGGTGATTATGCTTTCACAACGTTGAGGCCTAACTTAGGCAACTTAAATTATTACGATTTTTCTTTAACTGTAGCTGACATCCCAGGACTCATAAGAGGAGCCCATGAAAATCGTGGGCTTGGGCATGCTTTCCTTCGGCACATAGAACGAACAAAAGTTCTAGCCTACGTGGTAGACTTGGCTGCAGCATTGGGTGATAACAAGGGAATACCACCATGGGAGCAGCTAAATGACTTGGTTTTGGAACTCGAGTACTATCGAGAGGGTTTGACAGATCGACCATCCTTAGTGGTGGCTAACAAAATCGACGAAGATGGGGCTGAAGAGGTCTATAAAGAGCTAAAACACAGGGTGTCTGGTGTGCCCATTTTCCCAGTTAGTGCAGTCCTAGAGGAAGGAGTACCAGAACTGAAAGATGGTCTAAGGATGCTTATCAGCGGTGAACAATCAAACAGACTACAACTAGATGGTATAGTTCTTCATCAGGATTCTGCTTTTGTGAGCATCTAATCTATATTATTAGGAGATATCTGCTTCAGTATACTTTCCCTTGAAAATGTAATACCTTTTTTTTACCACAATACCATGGCAATTTTCTAAGGAGGAGGTAATTTTCTTTTTGACTTTGGAATTATGTTGCGTACTTCTTGATTAACACGTTATGAATAAACAATTATTAGATTCATTTTCAGATTTCTCAAGGGAATTGAATCTATCGAAAGACAGTTTCTTATATGTAAGCAATGGAGTCATACTTAAGTAACGTTTAAATTATATAATTGAAACTATCGAAAGGTGGTTTCTTATGGTAAGCAATAACACTTCATAACGTTTAAATTATATGTAAATAACTTAGTATTGTATATGATTAATGTTATAGTCCATGATGTCATGTAGACGATCAGATTAGCAAATTGTAGCTGTAGTAGTAAAAGAAGAATCTTTAATCTTTTTATCGTGTAAGAAATAGTGATATGCTGCTTCTTTCGTAAAAGATATGTATTCTCCAAAAGCAAAAGGGAATATGATTTGATGCATACTATTTTGTGTTGAAGCTCTTGCAAATATTTTTGTTAATGGATCGAAGGGAGAAATGGTTGAATCTTTGTTGATTGTGGCAGTAAGGTCACTTTGTTAGATTTATAAGTATTTGATAACTCGTCTAATTAATAACTCGTGTAGGTTTCTGTAATTGTTAAAATCTTGAAACTCTTTGTTAAGTTTCTACTACTATCAAATGAGATGATATTGGATTTGGAGAATATAACAAAGACGCTTTCCCTCTGGTTTGTTTTTGCGTAAATTTCAAGACTCTAAAAGGTATACTTTGGAATGATTGAGACGGAAAATTGATATGTTCTTCTCGATGCCTTTGAGCAATTATTCAATCGAACAAAATAATTGGTCTATCCTATTTAAACACAAATAGCATCAGATAAAATATGTTAGAAAGTCACTTTGGACAAGTCTCCTAAACAAAGATACCAATTGGATAATGTTTTTAATATGCAAAGTCTACAAATTTTCACCTTAAAAATATATCCCGAATTCTTTTGTTTCCATTCATTAATGAAATTTTACTATCTTTTCTGTTTCAAGAATTGTTAGAAAGAGGAATCTTAAAGTAGTTGTCTGGAAAATATCATTTTTAGTTAAAATAACTAAAATGCTCTTCAACATCAACACTAGCGGTATTTAACGAACATAAAAGAACATATAACGGTACCTAACTGAACCCCAAACATTACTATGTTTCAAATGTTGAAAGTCATATTTATTCCTAAACGTAGCTAAAAGACTAATTAATAGTTATTGCAAGCAGCCAAACGAATTAAGGGATACACGTTTACTTTTGTATTCTTTATATAATTTAATCTCAAGGACCCACCTTAGAAATGTCAACTATTGTAGGATGATCAATTCTCATTTCCTTAATTAAGAATGAAAAATTAAATAAATGAAAATTTCATTCTCACAAGCTCTCAATTGTCGTCTATCTTCATCGCCTTTCTCAAGAGATATTTCAGACATTATTAAATACTATTTTACAAATTCTACCATGATTTTGTCAACTTGTCACGCAAATAATTACCAATTTTGTCCTCCTTTCCCCCCTATAAAAACCCCCATCCTATGATTCACCTATCCACACAACTTGCTTTAGTGATTAAACTTTATTTTACAACAAATTAAAGGTCTATTATCTCCCAACAACATAAGAAAACAATGTCTGGCTGCGGATCAAACTGTGGATGTGGATCTAGCTGCAACTGCGGCAGTGGCGGAGGGTAAGTGTTTTGAATATTAATTTTAATACTAAAGTTAATATGCAAATACTGATTTTCTTATCACTATCTGAACTTTAATATTTGAAATACCGATGATTCGTCTCACACATATAATACTTAGTTAAAGTTGAAAAAATCCATATTTGAAGTTGAAGTTGAAAAGAAGTTATTACAGTATACGAAATTATAAAAAAAAAAAAAAAAAAAAAAGATTGTAACTAGTGTTTTTTTATTTTATGATATTGTAGATGTGGGATGTACCCAGACTTGGAGAAATCCACTACCTTTACCATCATTCAGGGTGTTGCTCCCATGAAGAGGTACGTCGTCTTCCAATTTTTCTTTACTTTTCCCTCTGCTTTTTGGTTTAGATATATTAGTAGTTTGCGGTTAAAATAAGAGAGAAAAAGTAATTCAAATTTAAAATTAGGAGGTATTAACTTATAATTTAACATGTTTTCTAGATTGATTGATTTATTCTCTAAGTTATTGGTTTCATTTATGATAGACGGATATTTTCATCTCTTTTAAGTTATCTGCTAGATTGTAGAATGATAACTTCATATGTGAATACCTAACTTTAGTTTATATATATATACTAGCAGGGGTGTTCATGGTTCGGTTTGGGTCGGTTTTTCCCTAAAAAGAAATCAAACCAAGTGAGTCGGTTTTTCAAATATTGGAACCAAACCAAACCAATTAAGTCGGTTTTTTATCGATTCGGTTTTTATCAGTTTTTGTCGGTTTTTCGATTTTTTCGGTTATTTATCGATTTTTTTCTTAAATATGAGATATACACTACCAAATACATATTCCGACGACTATATTTTCAACGTAACACTATCAAANATTGATGATAATTGAAGTAACTAGTGATGAATAATTTAAGTACTCAATTAAAAATTTATTATTTTTATCATGAAATAAATTCTTGTACTTAGCAAAAGAAAACTACCAATCAAACTAGAATGTAAAGGCAAAGAATTAGATTAATATAATAGCAAAGAACTATACTAAAAATACAAACGACTAATATGTACGATAAAAATTTAGAAACTTTATATAAAAATACATATATATAGGTGTAATAATAAATTTAAATAGCTACTTTTATAGTCGGTTTGGTTCGGTTTTTTGGTTTATTTTTTTATTAAAACCAAAACCAAACCAAACCTAAAAAGTATCGGTTTTTCGGATTTTTATGAACACCCCTATATACTAGTCTCTATGTTCGTGCGATGCACGAATATCTTGAGTCAAATATTATAAAACGCGTACTAAAAGTAGTGGAATAATAAACTTTCAATTGAGTAAATATTCTAAAACTGCTTGTTACTGAATATGTATTAAGTTTAATAGTAAATTCCTTAAAACCGAAAAAAGAAGAATATAACCTATAATCCAAACCAACTGAGGAATAAAGTTCTGACACGAATAAAATAGAACTAAATATATTGGGTATCAAAATGTAACAAATTTTATGTTTGCCGGAAACATCTAATTGCTTTAAATTATTACCACCTCTATATGTAAATTAATTTACTTCAAAGTAGAATAGAAGGGTCATATAATACAATTACGGACTCTCTTTTCCTAGTTATCTTTAACTTACCATTGTTCCTAATAATATCGGTTTAAAAGTATTCCTATTCGGGGTAGGAGTAAGGTCTGCGTACACACTACCCTCCCCAGACCTTACTAGTAGGATTTCACTGGGTCGTTGTTGTTGAAACTCAAGAACCGATAACATTTCAAATAGCTGAATAGTTGAACTTGAACACTTGTTCTAGTAAGAGAAGGATTCAGAATCCAATACAAAGTTTAAAAATATTCTATTGTTTGTGAGTAGTGACTTTAACGTCCTTTAATTAGTGATTCCAAGACAATAGTACATAGAAATTTAAGGGCATAAAAGTCAGTTAATATTTCGGGGATATTTTTGTCGTTCAACATTTAGCGTGAAACATTCCTGCTTTTATAATATATATATATCTATCTATATCTATATTATTATAAAAGCATGAATACAATGTTGGTTTACAAAAATAACCTTATAATGTTAAGTATAATAACTCATAATAAAAGGACATAACCGAAATTCTAGATATTAGCTTTATAATCCTATTAGATTTAGGACAGAACACTACACGCTAATATTTAGGACTTTAAAATTAACTAAATTTGGATTATTAAATCTTTCCTTATTGAACTAGGTAAGATTCATAAATAAAAATATTAAATTTAACCTTGTATTGGAAGAATATACAGAGTTTGGTCTAACGTATGGAAAGGCTTGGAAAAAATTTGGAGTTAAAAAATTTGAAAGATTATAAACTCAAGAGTTCACTTTGACTCAATGTTTTAAAAATGAATAATAGTATATATATTTTACCTTCTTTATTTATATTAGAAATTGAAGGACTTTTTTTTTTTTACTTTGAACAAAATATAGTTCATTCGTAAAAGTTGTTGCATTTTATGTCGATTTTAATTAAAATTAGTCTTAAAATTATTTTATTTTATTTGTTGTTTGATCTCCATGATTTTTTCTATCCTTAATTATTTAAATAGAATCAACATTTAACATTTACAGAAAATTTTATTTACTTTTCATCTCATAAATCAAACATGTTGTTTAATGTAAAGTTTACTTGAGTTTTCAAAATTGAATAGTTATTGATGGGGTACATACACAATGCACATACCAATATTAATCTATCCTTATTTCTATTTTCATGTATTTTGAAATATAGTAAGTAAATAAAAAATTTACAAATTATATCGTGACTCCAAGCTAATGTCATGTCCTAATGATAAGTAACCTAACTTGTCGGTTTACAAAAATAACCTTATAGTATTAAGTATATTAACTCATAATAAAAGGACATAACCGGTATTCTAGATATTAGCCTTATAATCCTATTAGTTTTAGGACATAATACTACACGTTAGGAATCCTATTAGTATAATAATTACTTTCGGGCCGTCACATTTATACAAAATTGAACAAGTAAATATCTATAGCCATGTAATCCTATTACTTTTAGGATATACTTCTTAAAAATTTATATTACTATTTTAATTTGAAAATTATTATAATGTCCTATTACTAATTTAATTTGAGAATGTATATATTGCCCAAATCCGTTTAGAAAAAAGAGAGCCCATATTATTATAAAAGCATAAATACAATATTAATATACCAAAGTAGTCCTAAAATATTAAACGGAAGAACTCATTGGAAAAGGACATAACTGCAATAACTTATTTTTTGGACTACAATACCTTCTATGCTAATTTTTAATATTTAATATTTTAAAATTAATAAAATTTGGTCTATTAAATACTTACTAAGAATATGTATGAAGGTTTAATAAAATGAATTTCATCAGAATCCTCCGTATTGGCAATACATTATCACTCCATAATGTCCAATACAAAAAAATAATTTATTGGGCCGCATAAAGAGTTGAAATTGAGGGGAAAAAAGACCCCCAATATATTTTTATATTATATTTGAACTATTTTTTTACTCAAATAATATATTTTTTAAATCAATTTTTCGTGTAATATTAAAAAATACCCAATCATTAAACAACAAGTATGAAATTTTTTAAGAATATAAATGTGTGAGAAAGAGAAAAAAATGGTTCGTAAGAGTCAATACCACTAATGATTCTATAGACCTAAAGATCTAAAAGTAAAATGTCATATTATTATTTAACTATTTGAAAATAAAATTTATGGTGGATAAAATTATAATTAAGATTAAATATTCAAAATAAGAGATGAACTAATATTAAGATCTGAATCAGCATAGAATAATTTTATTTTATTTTAAAACACTAAAATTTTTTAATTTCATTGCGTTGAAATTGAGGGGAAAAAAGAGTTGAAATTGAGAGGGAAAAAAACCCTACGATAATATATTTTTTATATAATATTTAAACTATTTTTCTACTTAAATATTTTTTTAATTAATTTTTCGTGTAATATTAAAAAGTACCCAATTATTAAACAACAAGTAAGGAATTTTTTATGAATATAAATGTGTGAGAAAGAGAAAAAAAATGGTTTGTAAGAGTCAATACCACTAATGATTCTACAGATATAAAGACCTAAAAGTGACATGTCATATCAATATTTTACTCTTTGAAAATAAAATTTATGGTGGATAAAATTATAATTAAGATTAAATATTCAAAATAAGAGATGAACTAATATTAAGATCTGAATCAGCATAGAATAATTTTATTTTATTTTAAAACACTAAAATCTTTTAATTTCATTGCGTTGAAATTGAGGGGAAAAAAGAGTTGAAATTGAGAGGGGAAAAAACCTCACGATAATATATTTTTTTATATAATATTTGAACTATTTTTCTACTTAAATATTTTTTTAATTAATTTTTCGTGTAATATTAAAAAGTACCCAATTATTAAACAACAAGTAAGGAATTTTTTATGAATATAAATGTGTGAGAAAGAGAAAAAAATGGTTTGTAAGAGTCAATACCACTAATGATTCTACAGATATAAAGACCTAAAAGTGACATGTCATATCAATATTTTACTCTTTGAAAATAAAATTTATGGTGGATAAAATTATAATTAAGATTAGATATTCAAAATAAGAGAAGAACTAATATTAAGATATGAATCAGCATAGAATAAATTATTTTATTTTAAAACCAAATAATTAAATTTTTTAATTTTATTTAGCAAGAGAATCCAATTCAATTATTTTTAAATTCATCATATGAGTAACATTCTTATTCAAGTTAAAAAAATTTACGGTGCATAAATTTATTCCATAAAAGAGTGTTAGAACACAAAGTAAAAATATTAATATATTATTAAGAATTAAAATGCTATACAAGTGTCTGAAGAAGCACAATCAAAATTGTTGTTGGTACACCACTTGCTATTATTGCTAACAGTGTCATGCCTCTTGATATGATATTTGCAAGTAATGCATGACATAGAAATATTATTTCGATTCCGCCGGAGGCATCTAGAAAGAATAATTCCGTCATAGCAGAGTCGACTCTTTATAATATTAATTTTGATTGCAAAAATTTTATAATAAAACAAAAAGTTTTTCTGTTTTTGAGTCAGCAGAAAATGATACCAATAATTACTACCAAGAAGAATACTTAAATACTTCAATACCAAATGGCCTTCTACCATACATGTTTGTTGTCAAGTTTATTATTTCTTACATATGTTAGTGTCACCGTACATATAATATACTAAGTTAAAATTGATCTTGCATTGTATATATGTTGATTTTGAAGAAAAAATTGTCTGTCATGCTACTGAAAAACTTAGATACTCCAAATAGCTTATATAATAGCACACACATAGTATATAAATTTTTTGACAATAACGTCATACATGCAAAAAATTATGATACTGGTCAATGTGCTTCTAAGTATAATCTTATCCCTGAATTCAACTTTCATCTTTCGAAACTAAGGAATATCCTTTTAAATTTGCATGAAAATAATTTTAGTATGTTTATGTTTTGCAAATATAATAAATAAAATACAAGGAAAAACATCTTAAATATTGGATTATATTTACCGCAATACGTTTTCTTACATGAATAACTGTATGTTTTAAGAGGCATATCAAGATCGACAACAAAAGTTATGGTTAAGGCAGAGTAACGAAAGCATTATGAGGAAACATACACACAAAAATATTGTCCACAAAGAAGTATTGGTTAAGATACCATCACATTAAATACTTTTAAACTATAATACATAATTATCTAACTAACATGACAAAATTGATCATTTGTATAAGTTTTGATGATGTCCTTTTATTTTAAATTCATGTATTATGCTAATGTAATAATATTTTTCGCATTTAGATAATTGTGTATTAATATACATAAAATATCTCTAATTAATTAAATTTTATTGTTCCTTCATATAAAATATTTAAATCATCACGTGTCATTATTAACGTGCAACGCACATTGATATATACTAGTGTGTATATATATATATATATATAGTGAATTTTGTGACACAAATATGTATTATTTGAGCAAAAGTTATTAGGTTAAGCTGAATCTACCTCCGTCCTTGCCGTTCAGTGTATAAATTTAAACTCAAATTAGAATACTAAAAATTATTACTTGAAATGTTGCAGCTTTGTGGAATTCGGAGAGAAAGCAGCAGAAGGAGGAAATGGCTGCAAGTGTGGATCAAACTGCACCTGTGACCCTTGCAACTGTTAAGATATTCTCACTACAAAAACTGCATTATGTCTCTGTATTAAGTGTGATTGTAATTATAACAATAAAACTACAACCATGGAACAGATCATGATCAGTTCTTAGGTTTGTGTGTTACTCATGTGACGTGGCTTTTCTGTTTGTTAAATTATCTATCTCATACTTTTTCTGGAGTGTGAATTGGGCTGTATATCAATATACTACATAAGTTTGTTTGTTCAGTAATTGCTTGTGAAGTCACTTACTGTATTTCTTTCGCACCTTATATATTTTCCATCTGTTCATTAAATTTTTATACTTCATCGTAGTATATATTAAAGCCAAGTACTATATTGGACTCGAAAATTAACTGCATAAATGAATTTTGCTTTAGTCTCACTGCTATACCGGCTATTTTTTTGTCAACCAAAGAAGCATATATTATAGATTACGTAATATTACAAGGAGCAAAAGTGCGTTGTTGGTTCAGTGTTACAAAAATAGGGTTGATCACTGATGCCAATTTGCGCTGCAGTACAAGAAGGTACATGGTTACTATTACAAATGGTTGCCAACATGTCTAAGCAAAAAGAGGGAGGTTCCAACTGCACTGTGGTAGATGAGGTGCGCTTGTGGAGTTTTCCCTGTGATCTGCAAACAACTCTTATAGTAAAAAAAAAAAGAGGTGGTTGCCCGAGTTTAGTAGTTGGGGCATTACAAGCTAGGGTTGTCCCAAATTTAGCTAGTTTATCCACTACTTGATTTTACTCCTGTATGCATGTATCACCCAAGGTCTACCCAGTTGGTGTAGCAAGTATCTGCATTCATGAATCAAGGATGAGTAGTGGGGATTAAGGGAGTGGAGTAAAGAAATTACCTCTGTTGAATCAACATTGACTTCCAGTGGAGTGAGATGGTGGTGATGTAGAGCAACTCGTAAACCTTCCAGTAGGGCAGTGAGTTTCATATAAATGTGGTTTCCCATTTTCCTTGTGCCTATATATTCCAGTATCCATTTTCCTGTGGAATCTCTAATTACACCCCCAAGACCCCATTTTTGGTGAGGGATACTACAAGCTCCGTCAGAGTTTAGTTTAAAATATCCATTATTTGGAGGGTTCCATTTAACGTGAATGTGTCTAGGTTGTGTGCGGCACGTGTGGTTGTTTATGCCTAGATAGAAATATTCTGATGCTTAGCCTATAATATGTGGGAGGTTCGGAGAGTGATTTGAGCCTTCAAAAATAGTGCGATTCCTACTTTTCCATAGGTGCCATAGAGCATATGAAATTAGGGTGTGAGAGTGAACTTGGGTAGCAGTAGCTTTGTTGTTTAAAATGAAATTAGATAGCTTAAATAAGGGATTATCATAAAACCTGTCTAGATTCCCATCGTGTGGGTTGATACCTATTTGATGCCAAACTATTTGTGCTCGGAGACATTGAAAGAAAATATGAGCGATGGTTTCATCATGGGACTGGCAGATTTGACAAAGCGGATTTGGAGAGAGATGTATGTTGTGTAGATAACTTATTGTGGGTAATCGATGGTGGCTCATAAACCAGAGAAAATGTTTTATTTTTGGAGGTATTTGAAGGTTACATAACCATTGGAAGGATTTGTGTTTTTTTTTAGCACACAATTTATAAGGATTTTACAGTGAAGATTCCACTTGGGTTGAGCCCCAGTAAATGTGATCGTAGGATGTTTTATTTGTGAGGGTAGGAATATACTGATTACTTATTAGATTGTTTATATTATTAGGGAGATCAAAAGGCATTTTTTGAAGGTTTATCGTGTTCCCGGCAATATAGAGTGCTAATGTGGATGATTGTTCATTACGGGGTAGATGACCTTCAATGATGTCGTAGTATCAAGTTAGGGCCTAACCAAGGTTCCGTCCAAAATTTAATGTGGCTTCCATTTGCGATATTTCAATTTATTCCATTTTGACATGAAGCCCATCCTTGTTTGATGGCTTTCCAATTAGAGGAGATGTTAGTTGGATAATTATTCCTAGAGTATTTTGATATAAGGATTGAAGCCCAATGGGAGGAAGGAGATTGGAACAATCTCCAAGCTAGTGAACCAAGTAAGGCATTAGTTTTATCTGAAAGATTGTGAATTCCCAATCCACCATAGGCTTTTGGTAATTGGATTGTTTCCCATTTAATAAGGTGAAGCTTACGTTTCTGTGCTATGGTTCCCCATAAAAAGTTTCTTTGATAATGTTCTTATTGATTAGTAATATTAGTAGGTAATTTGATAAGCTGTATTACATGATTTGGTAAACAATTTAGGGTAGCCTTTATTAAGGTGGTTCGTCCCGCCATTGTTAACAAATTTGTTTTCCACCCGGCTAATCTATTTTTGTACTAATCCAGAAGGAATTGAAAATTTAAAGTTGTACGTCGTTTATTGAAAATGGGTTATCCAAGGTATTTGCCAAAATTTGACCCCTCTCTCATATGAAAGGAATGGGTCACACTTTCTCTATCTGCTATGGAAGTGTTCTTAGAGAAGAATATTTTGGATTTGGTATAATTAATAGTTAACCCCGAAACCTTAGTAAACAGGTTGAGTGTGTCAATTATAGAGTTGATACTCGTTATGGTTAATTTAGAGATTAAGGTAATGTCATCAGCAAATAGGAGGTGAGAGATTTCCGGACCTTGCCTAGATAATTTGATGGGGTGCCACTTTTGGTAATCTACTTCAGCATGTATTTTACGTGAGAGCATTTCCATACAAAGAGTGAAAATGTAGGGTGAGAGGGGTCCCCTTGGCGGATGCCTCTTGATGGTGAGAAGAAAGAGGTGGGTGCTCCGTTAATTAGAACTGAGATGGAAGAGGTGGTTATGCAAGACATAATTAATTTGATCAACTTAGGTGAGAAATTGAAGTAGTGGAGGGTGTCATGTATGAAACCCCATTTCAATTTGTCAAAAGCTTTTTCGAGATCTAATTTGAGTAGAAAGGAAGCCTGAGCACCTTTTTTTCTCCTGAAATGGTGCATAATCTCTTGCACGATAATTGCATTATCAGTTGCTCTACGATTAGGCAGGAAGGCTGATTGTCCCAGACTGATGAGGCTAAATATCATTGGTTTGATATGCTGGACTATGATTTTGGTAATTAATTTATAAAGTGTGTTACAAAGGCTTATTGGTCGATATTGAGTGATAAAGGTAGGTTGTTGTATTTTCGGGATAAGGCAAATGTAAGTTTTATTATTTTCTGTAGGGATTTGTTGTGTGTTAAAGACCTCCATACAGAAAGATGTGACTGAGGAGCTCACTTGAGTCTAGTAATTTTGATAGAAGTATGGATGTAATCCATCAGGTCCAGATGCTTTTAAGGGTTGGAAAGACTTAAGGGCATTAGTGATTCTAGTTGTGTAATGGTGGATTCCAATTTGGAATAGTCATGAATATTGATAGTATTGGAACGATCTTTATAAGTAGGATAAGTGTGGTGGGTGGGACTAGTAGTGAATAAGTTGTGGTAATAGTCCTCAATTGAGGTATTGATTTCTAGTTTATCCAATATCCAATTACCCACCGAGTCTTTAAGCGCAGTAATACGATTGCGTCTACGCCGTTGTAAAGTAGTTAGGTGAAAACATTTTATGTTGGCATCTCCTTCTTGTAGCCAATTTATTCGAGATTTTAGTTTCCAAAACTCCTTTTCAATTTTTAGGATATCATTATATTGAGTTATTAGGTCAGTTTCAAGATTTTGTAGAAACTGACTAGTGGTGTATTTGGGGAATTTTGAATTCCTTGGATTCTATCTAGAAGAATTTTTTTTATTTTTAAAAATGTTGCCGAAGGTGGTTCGATTCCAATCCAGAATATGTTCTGTAAAGTCTTCGATTATGGAATGAAATTGAGGGTGAGTAGTCCAGATAGTTTCAAAACGAATTTGTTTTTCGTTAGGAGCTTTGTGTTTATTAAGATTTAGTAACAACGGGCCATGGTCGGAGTGTGTTCTTGGTAGGTGTTGAACAGAGGCTAGAGGAAATAGGTTTAGCCATTCATAATTAGCTAAGCATCTATCTAGTCTTTCTAGTATACGATGTGATAGTTGTCTATTATTGGACCATGTATATCGACTACCCGTATATCCAAGGTCTACTAGATTACAATAGTTAAGGCAATGAAGAAACTTATCACTCCACCTATTATTAATCTCTAAACCACCATATTTTTCAATAGATTTAACTATTTCGTTCAAATCGCCTCCTATTAACCAAGGTAATTTAATTTGGTCATGTAATGCACGCAGGTTATCCCATAAAACAAAGCGTGCATAAATGTCATTTTTATCATAAATGACAGATATTAACCAAGATTAGGGTTTTGGGGGTACCTGGACAATGGGATGAATTTCTTGACTTGTGGCTGCTACTTGATCAAGCTTGATTAGATCATCTTTCCAAAGTAGAGCAATTCCCCCAGAGATGCCTTCAGCAGGTGATTGAGCCAAGTGTGTAAAAGCAAACTCAGATTTAAGTTCTTCATGATCGTGCATGTGCATTTCAAGTAGTGCTACCAAAGCTGGTTTATGGTAGTTGAGCATGGAGCGAAAGTTGCGTTTGAACTCCGGTGACTGGGCCCCTCGACAGTTCCAGATGACGAACTGCATGGATTGATTATTGAGTGGGCTTGGTGGAGTCTCCCTCTCCACTGTTGAGGATCTGATCATCAATGCTGGGATTAGCACTATTGCGAAATTTCCCACCTCCGAATTTCTTGTTGGGCGGATGTTTAGGGAAACACTTAGTAGTTCCGGTGGGCAGGAGATGACCACTTTTCTTTTGTACTATTCTTTGAGGGTGTAAGTTTTGTTCCCATCGAGATAACACAGTATGGAAAGTGTTTCTCGTATCTCTGCCATGGTGGCTGCCACTTCCAGTTGAGCTATTTCGTCGAATCCGTATGGAGGTGGACTGGAGTGATTAAGTGGACTCGTTGGAGGAGTGAGTGGGTGGTATGGTGAGGCTTGTGCATGGAGTGGTATTATGGGTGCTATTGATGATCGGGGTCGGATCCAAGGTACAAAAGTTTGAGGTGATTGTTGTGGCGGATAAAAGGGTAGCTCTAGAGTGTTCATTGGTGGTGAGGAGGGACTTGCATGGATAGAGTTGCTGGAAATAGTGGCGCCATTGGTTGTGGTTGAGAGAAAGCTGATGGGGGGTGCATGGCCCATAGGAATTGGTTGTAAAGCGTCACCCCCACGTGCATCCCTTAGTTACTATTTGTGCTATA